CACTTCGCATTGGTGTATTTCATAAGGTCGAGACCTGGACGTTCCCTGTCACACGTTATCCTAGTGCTTCCTCCAATGCTCCGGCTCATCAGCCTGCAGGTGTGCTTACAGGACAATTAACGAGATTCAAACATATATGTAACAATACCACCGACTTCAAAGCGGCAGTGACTTCCCTGACACGACGTATACTTGGCAGGGGCCATCCTCCTAGTGTCCTGGCTAGAGGCTGGACTGCATATGTGCGTGGCCGACAACGCCGGTTACCAACTCATGTCACACGACTTTCGAACTGGTTTTGCCGTATGGTTCGCTGGGCAATTGCTCACCCACTCCCGAAAGCTGATTTTGTGCGTCGGTCCTCCACCCAAACGCACACAAGAGACCACCACTCATCGCTCGACACCAATGTTCACCGCAGCCAGCATCAGCCCTCCGCACAATTAAACGCAGACGGCCCGCCCTCCCCTGTTATCCCTGCTGAAATGACAGACGCTAATGTCGATACGCCAACTCAGCCAGAGACCATGCCAGCCACATTAAACAATGTGAACGTTACCGAAGTGGCTGTAAGGGATGAAGGCCAGCATCCTACCAATACAGCGACTGTTGCTGTTGTTGCTGCTGCTGAAGGGTATACCAGGGTATACCTCCTCCACTGTCGCCTCCACCCCTGCCCCCTCCCCCCCCACACACCACCACCACCACCACCACCCCTACATCATTGCCATCATCATCACCACCGCCATCATCATCACCACCACCATCATCACCGCCACCCCCACCGACTTGCTCTATTGCAGCATCCTCTCAGTCATCTGCATCTTCTTCCTCTTCCTCTTCCCCTACTTCTTCCTGTACTTCCTCATCATCGACCTCATCATCAACACACTTATGGTTAGATGGGCCGTCACAAAGGGCCTGTCGGCCGAGGTATCCGTTGTTAGATCGATCGTTATAGATGCCTCTTCGGCGGACACGTTCCCCGTCTCCACAACCACCTCCAAGACAGCGGCCTCGTTTGTCGTTGAATGGCATGATCACCGTGCCCCCTGCAGGGGTTAGAGATCTGCTCCGACGACATG